ATGGCCTAGATATCTCTCTGCTGAAGTATTCCCGAATAGGAAGTATTTGAAAGAAGTGCGTTTAAAAAAGAAATTTAAAAAAGACTGCGCCGCAGGCAAAAAAAAATTTAAGAAAAAATCGCGCGATTTTTTCTTAAATTTTTTTTTTCCTGCGGCACAGTTTATTTTGTTCAATATTAAGCTAGTAGTTTTAGCTAGATTAGGGTTGGTGTGTCGCTCAGAAAATACAAATTCAATCTTTAAGTTTATTTTTGGGTGGAAAAGACTAAAAGAAAGGTTAAAATATATAATCCTCCTTGGACCGCGATTTCTTCTGATTATCATAATAAAAATACACATGTGGTCATCCATGGTTATGAGAGTTCCTAAGAACTCGCTGTCCATCGAGGATCATTTTTACGCGGTTGTGAGGACTAGTTCCCTATAATACCAATTACTCAGATGTTTGGAATTTTAAATTAGTCTTATTTTGACAAAAAAGGAAAAGGGTACATATATACATATATGATTTTTATAGCAAACGTTAGAAAAGCATACTTGTTTTTTATAGCAAACCCGGGAACTTTGAAATTCAATTACAAGAGAACCATGGCCGACCGCCGAATTCTTTTTGCACGTAAATTCTTAAGAAATCGCGGTCCATCGAGGATAATTTTTTCGCGAATTTCGGGGGTGAGCCCGCTAATGTATAGTATTACCAAATCAATTTGAATCATGATTCAAATCAATCAAATGATTTGAAATCAAATCAATTCAAATCAAAATCAATTGATTTGAATCATGATTTGAATTTGATTTTATTTGAATCATGATTTGAAATCAAATTTGATTTGATTTGAATTATGATTTGAAATCATTGAATCATTGATTTGATTTCAAATCATTTGATTTCAAATCATGATTCATGATCATGATTTTATTTCAAATCATTTGAATTGATTTGATTTGATTTGAATTATGATTTGAAATCATTGAATCATTGATTTGATTTCAAATCATTTGATTTCAAATCATGATTCATTTGATTCAAATCAAATCATGATTCAAATCATGATTCAAATTAATTGAATTGATTTGATTTCAAATCATTTGATTGATTTGAATCATGATTCAAATCATTTGATTTTATTTCAAATCATTTAAATTGATTGGATTTGATTTGAATCATGATTTGAAATCAATTGAATCATGATTTGAAATCAAATGATTTGAAATCAAATCAATGATTCAATGATTTCAAATCATAATTCAAATCAAATCAAATTTGATTTCAAATCATGATTCAAATAAAATCAAATTCAAATCATGATTCAAATCAATTGATTTTGATTTGAATTGATTTGATTTCAAATCATTTGATTGATTTGAATCATGATTCAAATCATTTGATTTTATTTCAAATCATTTGAATTTGATTTGAATCATGAGATTCATTTGATTTCAAATCATGATTCAAATCAAATCAATTCAATGATTTTAAATCATGAATCAAATCAAATTCAAATGATTTGAAATCAAATCAATTCAAATCAAATTCAAATGATTTGAAATCAAATCAATTCAAATCAAATTCAATTGATTTGAATCATGATTTGAATTTGATTTTATTTGAATCATGATTTGAAATCAAATGAATCATGATTTGAAATCAAATGATTTGAAATCAAATCAATGATTCAATGATTTCAAATCATAATTCAAATCAAATCAAATTTGATTTCAAATCATGATTCAAATTAATTGAATTGAATCATGATTCAAATCAAATCAAATCAATTCAAATGATTTGAAATAAAATCAAATGATTTGAATCATGATTCAAATCAATCAAATGATGATTTCAAATCATGATTCAAATCAAATCAAATCAATTCAAATGATTTGAAATAAAATCAAATGATTTGAATCATGATTCAAATCAATCAAATTCATGATTCAAATCAATTGAATTTGATTTGAATTGATTTGATTTCAAATCATTTGATTGATTTGATTTTATTTCAAATCATTTGAATTGATTTGAATCATGAATCATGATTTGAAATCATGACACGCTGCAATAGAAAATGCCTGTGAAGGGAAAAAGGCTGGAATAGTTTGCTAGGGCGGGCCGAATGAGAAAATATTAGAAAGTCTATTTAATGAAGAGTGTAATAATTTTTCGTCACAAATGTTGATATCAGAACTTTTGTATGTTGAAGGTGCGATCGTCACTAGTTTTTTACCTCGTTAAGAGGTGTTTTTATTTGATATCAGAAGTTTTTGTTTGTTTACATTTGCTTTCATAGGAGCTAATATATACATTTAAATTAAAATTGGTCAATCATAATTTGTAAGCCATTGTATTTAAACAAATTAAGTTAAAAAGGCGTTTAAGTATTTCAAAATACCTTTTAAACGAGGTATAGCACATGTCGGTACCTTTAGTAGTGTAGAACTTACAAACTAACGAAATTTAGCTATTTTTAGCTTTTTCCCGCTAAAGTAGCGGCTTTTTCCAAAAGTCGTAGAACAAAAGATTCCTATATGGAAGTCTTAAGTGCAAATTTACTGATTCCATGACCCTAAAATACAGTTCGGATACCCTCACACAAAATTCAATACCCAGGAAGCTTTAGTTGTTCGAGCTGGCAAAAGTGGCTATTTTCGTATAAAAATAACTTTTAAACGTGACTTTTTACAGTAATGTGTTATATACCAAAATTTAAGGAATCTCAAGGGCTATACAGTTTAAAGTTTTCAAGAAAATCGTTAGAGCCGTTTTTGAGAAAAATAAAAAAAAGCTAAAAAAAAAATTTAAAAAAAATTGTCTTTTGTTCATATCTTTTTAATTATTACATTTACACAAATTGCATATAGAAGGCGTTTATAGCTTTTAAAAATACCTTTCAAACAAGATGCAGCACAAGTCTGTAGCTTTAGTAGTATAGAAGTTACGGTTTTCCGAATTTTAGCTATTTATAGCTGTTTTCCCGCTAAACTAGCGAGTTTTTCCAAAAGTGGTAGAACAAAAGTTTTTTATATCGATGGGATGAACGTCATATTAAATTTTCAAAACTTAAGAAACATGTTTTGGACAAACTGACAAACTGACAAACTGACAAACAGAATTAAATTTTCATTTTGGGAAGAAGAAGGAAATCTTATTTTGGCTATAACTTTTGAACGGAGCGTCGGATTTTGACAAATGACCCCTCATTCGACGGGTATTTTCAAAAGGAATGCAACTAAAACATTGCGAGGGGAAATTTATCCCCACCGGCCCCAACAGCTCCAAATTTCGAAATTTTCATTTTTTCACTTTCACCGCTCTCTCTCCCAAGCCAATTGATTTTCTTAAAGTCCTTTAAGTTATTGCAATACCTTTCGATTGGTGTATTACTCATTACGATCGGACTATCACAGCAGATTTTCAATTTTGCGGCTATATAATAGTAGTCGCCTTCGCACACTCTCCTGGTGCGCTTCGTCACTACATGGACTGCCGTCCATAGTGATAGTATTCATCGTTTCCAAAATGTAAGATTCAAACTGTTGCAATTATTTTGAAAAGCTAAGAAAATCAATATTATCGGAAAAAAAAATCATGTCCCTTACATATTTTTAAAAACTAATGGTTTTTAGAGATAAGTTTTACTCATCTGTATTTCATTCTATTTTTTTATTCTAATATTTAAGATATATTTTTTTCAGTGCCATCATCTAGAAGGCCATGTATCTTCTGCTGTCTCATTTTCAATGTGTGCTTGGCAAAACTTTAAATGTGGCGGTAATGAAATTGTTGGCACCAAATGTTGTCAACACTAATACTAAAATACCTCCTATATATATGTGGATACACATACGGGTTTCACATACGGACCCACACTCAGACAGACATCATCAACACCATTTTATGACATGGTTCCGGCAAAGCGGCATCCTGCAGATTCCCAAAGCCGAAAAGTTCTACAAAACGCTAGCCCAGCTGAAACAACAAATATTCGGGCAACTTTAAGGGGAAACTGTGTTGGGCTTAGAGAGATCCATAATGTAAGATTCATTTTGTTGTTTTGGGTTACTGTTATGTGAATCGCTTAAGATTCCAAGGAGGCGTCAGAAATGCTTTAAAAAAATTAGATTTTCTATTCGATTATAGGAAAAGTTTTTGGGGGATTTGTTGGCTCTTAAACATCCTACAAGGATTGTTTGTTTTTAAAGATTTAAAATGTAAACAATCTTCTGAAGCCCATTTAAATCCACATTTTTCCATTCCAACGGCTAAACGTTTATAACTTTTTTGTAACTATTGATTTCACTCAGTCATTTGCCATTTTAAATGGAGCACATTATTCAGTACTTGTCAAAAAGAGTTATGGAATTGCAGTGAGAATGTGTGACAATTTACTAGTTTCATTAAAAATTACCGAGTTTATTATTTTAGCACCTGTTGGGAATTGCGAATCGAATGGTATGTGATTTTATTCAGTTAATCATGTAGAAAATCAGGGCAGTCCATTTGTATTAATTAACGAGCGGGTTAAGTTTCGCGTTTAATTAGCTGCTTAACTCATTTTGGACTCCATTAGTTTCACCTTAAATTATGCAATGTGGTCGAGCACAATTCAGGGAACAGCCGTCAGATTGATTCAGGCTCCTAACTTGCATAACAAGTGGATGATTAACATAATGGGACTAAATGAATACTCAGCGAAGGGAGTGAATCCTTTTCAGCAGATAAAGTTAAAGGTAAAAGTATGCTTAAGAAGTGAGAATAAGAAATATATTCTGATGGAAATTAATTTAATTGGGACTTAAAAAAATATAAAATAATATTTATGATAAAAATAATTTATCCCCCGAAAACTATCTTATGAAATAATATATAAACATCTTTAGAAAATGTTTATTTTAATAACATTTTAAAAACCCATTAAATAAACAAATAATGATCAATGAAGCAACCCTTGAAACGAACTTCCGATAGTTCATATTTTTTAGGCGTATGGATCTTGAATATAACCTCAGTTTACCCCTTGCTTCGAGAGTGTCGTGTGCCTAGTCTGGTTTTTTTTGGAAAATATAGAAAAAAACATTAATTTTTTTCATCAAAATTATTTGTCGTGTTTCGTGTCTTGTGTTTCATGTTCGTGAATTTAGTTGTAGGATAGCTAGGATTTAAGCGCGACAAATTCCCGAATACACACCGATTGACGAAAGACATTCTCAAGTAGTAATAACTTTTTTGGAGGACACGAAATTTGCAGTCGTAACTAAATTTGGTCCGAGCAGGCAATTATAATATTTATATAAAGATATAAAAAAGCTACACCCACTATGAACAAAATGCGAAATGTTTTGAAGTCGGTGGTCCAACGGCGACTGCCGCAGGTGAATCAAATTCGCAATGCCTGCGGCGGTGAATCGAAGACCTCGAAGGGTCTGGTGGTTGGTGTTTACCAGAAGGAGGGCGACAATGATCCAAAACTAACGCCCGCCGGCGAAAAGGTCAACGATCGTCTGCACGGCAAGCTGCAAGAGCTGATTTGTGAGACCAAGATCACGGGTCGCTTGGGCAGGGGCAAGGTCTTCAACAACATAGATCCCGAATTTCGCAGTCTGGCCGTGGTGGGCGTGGGTCTCGAGGGCATTGGCTTCAACGAACTGGAGATGCTCGATGAGGGTATGGAAAATGTTCGCGTGGCCGCCGGAATTGGAGCCCGTTCTCTGCAGGCGATTGGCGTTACGGAGGTCTTTGTCGATGGCATGGATTATGCCGAACAGGCAGCCGAGGGAGCTGTGCTAGCCATTTGGCGGTATTGTGACATGAACTCGAAGAGGAAACCCCCACATATCCCCAAGCTGGAGCTTTTTGAATCACCTGACTACGACAGTTGGACCCGGGGCGTTTTCAAGGCGGAGGCTCAAAATTTGGCCCGCAGGATGTGCGATACGCCCGCCTGCTGTATGACGCCCACTCTGTTTGCCCAGGCCACCGTGGATGCTTTGTGCCCCTGCGGCATCACCGTGGAAATCCGCACCATGGAGTGGATCGAACAGCAGCGCCTGCACTCCTTCCTCATGATCGCCAAGGGCAGCTGCGAGCCACCCGTTCTCATGGAGATCACCTACTGCGGAACCAATCCAGAGGATAAGCCCATTCTGTTCCTGGGCAAGGGCATTACCTTCAATTCGGGCGCCATAAATCTGAGGGATTGCAAGGGAATGGACGAATACAGGGCTTGTATGTCTGGAGCGGCTTCTTGTGTGGCCATGATGCGATGTTGTGCGGCCTTGTCGTTGCCGATTAACGTATGTTGCATCATCCCGTTGTGTGAAAATATGCCCTCGGGAATGGCCTGCAAGCCGGGCGATGTCGTGACCCTAATGAATCACAAATCCCTGGCTGTACGAGATCTGGACAAGGCTGGAGTGGTCGTGATGGCGGATCCCATGCTCTATGGACAGAGCACCTACAAACCGCGACTCGTCGTCGATGTGGCCACTCTGGGGTCGGGTGTGAAAAAGGCTTTCGGCGGCGGAGCCACCGGGATATTCTCAAATTCCCATTACATCTGGAAGCAGTTCCAATCCGCTGGAGCTCTCACCGGCGATCGCGTGTGGCGTCTGCCGCTGTGGAACTATTACAAGAAACAGATCACCGACGAGATGGGCTACGACATCAGCAACAATGGCCGAGGATTGGCCAGTTCCTGTTTGGCGGCCGCCGTTCTCCACGAACTGGTTCCCTGCGTGGATTGGGCCCATTTGGACACCAGGGGCACCGGGCTGCTGACCAAGTTCGGACTGGTACCCTATCTCACCGCCAAATACATGACTGGCAGGCCCACCCGCACTCTGGTTCAGTTCCTCTATCAAATGGCCTGTCCCGCCAATCAGAAATGAAGGAAGATCTAATAAGCAGTCGGTGGAATCCGACCTGAAATAATTAGAATGCAGTTCTTGACATTGCGGAGCAGTGTCAGTTCAACAGAACATTTTGTAAGCCGTCTTGTGGAGTGATTAGTATTTCTGTGAAGTGTCCAAAGTTGTACAAATTTGTTGTGAAATATGTTTAAAACAAATATAAAAAACAAGCTTTTAAAAATGGTAATTGATTTATCAACCTGGGGAGTACCTAAAACCAAATTATGTAAATCCACCCGGGGGCGCCAAAAATAATTTTAATCCAATTCTTCTTTGATTAAAGTCTGAAAGCCACACCTGCTCCTTTGGTTACATTAAAGGGCCACAAAATACAGGTAATGGCCATCCTAGCACACGTTTCCCTTCCAATTAGACAAACAAATTTTCCCAATTTTCACACATTTGACACGTTTCAGCCATTTCGAAGGAGAGGCCTTCAACACACCTCGACGAGGGTCTTGGGGGTTTAAGAGCATCCTTGGCTGGCAAAAGGATATTTGCATTTCCATATGAGCTCGCCACCTCGCCCTTAGCCGTGTCTTTGTTGATGAAATTGCTCCAGGATATTACTTTGAATTATCATAAATAACCGAGCAAGGCAATGGCAACGGCGATATGTGTGCCAGCTCGTGTGTATCCTGCGGTTAGAAGATCAGGTGGTCCTTGCAACATACTCAAGGGTTGGATATTAAACCAGGCTATTTTCTTGTTGCCTACACTTAAAAATATATTTTTGCGATTCTATAAAACATTTTTAGAATAATTCTAAATTGCTGTTTTATTTTGCTATCATAGTTTATCACTGTAGTTAATTTTTTTAAAAATTTTTAAATAAAATAATTTTTTTGTTAAATTAACCCACACATTTTAAGAGCCGTTTGTTGGGTCTTTTTTCCGAGTGCAGATTTATGATAACCAATAAAGTAGACACAAAATGTTCAGCAGGTAATCGGGTTGCCTTCTTCAAAATGCTTCCCTTACAATTTAAAAGCCACAAGCCACGGATAAGTTTTCAAGTTGCCGAAAAGTTTATTGAAAGCTTCTCACTTTTTCTTACTGGCAAATGGATTGCGGCAATCGGTTAATGTGCGTTTCGGATTGCCAATTAAAAGTATTTGTACTCGTCTAAGTATTAAAATGAAGCAACGCGGAAGTTCCGTCTTCCTTTCTCTCGGCTTATGCCGATTTTCCATTGATTGGCATTTAAAATTTCATTAAAATACTTTTCCGTTTACACAAGCATTTTTTCGGGCAAAAAGCGAACGACACTCTCCTCGAGATGGTATTTTATTTTATGTAAGTTCGCATTTTTTCAAGCGAACGGATATTAACCATTTTCGTCATTATCCAGTGGGCAGCAGTTACTGCCTTCACACGTGACCGTCGGACATTTATCTACTGATATTCGATATTATGGAAAAGCCTTGGTCTTTGGTCCTTGGTCCTTCGTCCTTTGCTGTGGGCCACACGTCCAGGCCACAACGTTTTCAATTTATTTCGCTTTCCATGTGCGGGCGTGTTGGCAGCCATTAAATATATTGGATTGTACGTAAACCGAATTAAATTCGCATTTCTCCGGCAAAAGTGCCAAGAGTACAACGCAAAAATTAACATAATTTACTTCACTCTTTTACGGCCTCACTGGTTAAGTCAAGAATAATTTGTTTGTCAACAAAGGGCCAAATTCAATTACAGTCTCCCAACGACAAAGCCTCTTTCGAACTTGAGCCACAAAAGCCAAGCGAGCACAATGGGCTTAGGATATTTCCCCTCCATCATCATCATATGTGTGAGTGGCCCGGAAAAATGTGGAAAAGCGAGTGGAAGAAGAGGTAGTCTAGTCAGGGTTATAAGGCTACAAAAGCGGGTTATGTGTGTATAGCATGTAACTTTTTAATTTGATTTGCTCTTGCCCACACTTTTTTCACAGCTTTTTAATTTCTTACTTTTCTCCTTTTAATTACGCAAGGGAAAAGTTTTTCACATCTGCCGCCGCCGGTCTTGGAAAATTCATATCTGCACTTTGATAACTTGATCAAAGTTTTCGAGTTGGTTTCACTTCACTTCACTGGCAGATTGATTGCAATTATTTTATGCATGTGCCTTGTGCCATTGCGTTTGCCACAAAAGAAAATTGAATCATAGACTTTTCTTGGCGTTAAAAAAATGTAGCCCAGTAGTTGGCTGGAAAAGTTAATTTTTTCTCACCGAAATAATCCCTTCAGTACCACTAAATTTTATATTCTATATCAAATTTTAAGGTAAAAAGGACAAGAAAGAAAATTAAGAATTTACATAAACAAATAATACAAACAAAAACTCGAAGCTAAGGAAATACCATTATTCCACGTTTTCCAGTTTTATAGAAATACTTTAAAAATTGAAGTATGTCTGTCGTTTATTAAAAATTCGTATCGAAAGTAGAAATTCGTTCTCGCCCCTTGTTGGTCTGGTCGCTTGGTCAGTAGTCACCGCTCCTTTGGATGTTCTTCAAAAGGTCTACGTTCTTTCGAATCCCAAACTGGGTGAATCGGAGGGCCCAGGAACTGTTGCTGTTACTCCCAGCTGCTACGGCGGCTACTACAGCTGGCTGAATTCGGCTTAGATTTTCCTTGCTGGCTTCCTGACGAACCATTTGCATGGCGGCGGAATTGCGTAACCGATTTGTCATATGCGGCAAAACAAACAGAAGATTTCGATACATTTTTGGTTTTCAAAAAGGTTTTTTCTGAAATAATATAATTTAAATTTGGATTTTGGTTGTTTTTTTGTTGTGACTCGTGCTTAAAAATGATTTCAACTGAAATATTGTTTTTACGGGGCTGACATCTGAATGAATTTTCGGTTTTTCAGTTTCCATGATAGTCTGATGCTAAAGACTTGTACTTTATGTTATTTCAAGATAAATTGAGGTAAGCTTAAATAGAAATGCTCAATAAATTGTTAAAGAAATTTCAATAAAATTATGTAATTGCTTACAGTTTTTTTTTTAGTTTATGCATAAGTTTTTTTGAAAAGTTAATAAAAAATTAATAATTTGTCTCTTTATCCTTTTAGCCAAGCAATGGCTTTCATTAAATACAATTCTGAATCACTATTTAATAAAATCATATTAAGTCATTAAAATCCCTTTTCCCTGTGTATTTCTGCATGTCGATAAGCAAAGTGTCAACTTGCATCCGGTTGACTGCTTTTGACGTTGGCCAAACTTAGTTTGCTGCCAATAAATCAAATTCCCAATCACATCAAGCTGAGAGCATCGAGCCAATTTTTACTTTGCCACTTCCCAGCCTCACGCCCACCCCCTGTATCCGCCCCCAACATTCCGCCCTTCATCTGAAGGCCATTAATCAATCAAATAGAGAGATAGAGAGAGGCCAACACTCAAAATCAAAAGGGCACAAACTGAGAATATGGATGGATTTCGAACCCACACATGCATTTGACAGAGTTTAGGGGTTTCGGTTAATATCGGACTTAATTAAAGTGCACTTTATTAACCCCAACTAGCTTCCATCGAAATCGAGATACCATTCAGGGAGCTTGCTTGTGGCTAACCGGAGGAAGCATCTGGCTAAACATGCCGGGGAACTCAGACGCAAATACTTATCAAACGTTGCCAAGTCAGGCGACGTCACATTGCCAGTGGCAATAATCGCAATTTAATATTCATGACGTTCTCACAGTCAATGTATTTGGGGAAAATTTCCACCACGAGTTGCAACTGTCGACGGAGCTCAATGTCCTCCGGACACTTCAACATGAGTCATTTTTTATTCACTTTACTTTTATGTTTTTTCCCAGGCGACAAATTCTAAATCGCAGAAGTCTCCCAAATTGGTGATAAGAATATGGAACTCTGAGTTCTAAAAATATATATTTTTGATTGAATAAATTTTATAGTTTTATCCCTGCTTTGAAATATGAGTCAAAAAGGTCTTTCAAAATTTGTTGTGACAAAATGTTGGTAATCTTATTTGAATCCAATTCTTCAATTATAGTCCTAATAATTTGTGTGTCGCCTGTGCAGCCATCATGTTTTGGATCTACTGCTAGTGTTAGCTTCGTTGTCGTACATTCAATAAGCAAAGAACCCATTTTACCCCGCTTCTTCATTTACCCAGGAACCCCGTTTTCCCCTCGAGTCAACGGGGGAGCAACAAAGCTGACACCCTTTGCTCATCTGTTATTTATCATACTGGGCCATATCCTTGCTCTTCCCTCGTAGTTTTCCCTTCCATGGATTCCCACAACGCGAGCTTTTCCTTCTGGCTCCTTTCACTTCCTCCCAGGCCTTTTGTGTGTTTGTTGGGGTTTTGTGTAGAGAGAGAGTGGCATTCTTTTGGCTTTACATATATTTTTTCTCGAGCACTTCCGCTTTTTCCTTCAGCTTCTTCCCCTGGCCCTTCGACTTACGCTAGTAGTTTTGCCTGCTGATTTTCCTTTAGCGATAAGCGAGGCGGGGCCATATAGTTTTTTCCCATGTTCTACTACTCTATTCTTTATACACAAAATCAAAAAATGGGTAAAATAATGTTAAGTAAGAAATAATAGAATTATATGTAGGAAAAGGGCAAGCTAAACCACCATTGAATTTAAAAAAATTAAAAAAAAACATGTGTACAAATTGTACCGTTTTATTTTAATTGTTTTTTTGAATTGTTGAGTTTTAATTTTTATTCTTTGACTGAAACGCTTTTGTAAATACTTAAATGAAAGATGCCTTGTCAAATTAGTTTTGCCATTATTATAAGGGATTTAACCCAGCCAACGGTGCGAATACTTAATATTTTCCCCGTGTATTTCGAGCAATTTTCGCTTCCATTTTGATGCAATTTTCTCCTTTATTTTTTCTAGCCTCCGGCTAAATTTATGACTACTGACGATTCAGAGGTCTGCGAATTAGTTCCTCCCCTCTGTGGGTTTTCCCCTTGTTTTCCCGCCCCCGGGCATTATCAACGCATCAGCTGCTTATGCTGATTGGCGTATTAATAACAGGCCTGTTCCCTAACTGATTTCGGCGCCATATGCCCGGGAGGAATTGGGAAATAGTTTGTGGGGATAGAGATTCCATTGGTTTATCAATTCGTAGGTTTATGCCTTTTGAATTCATCATCGAAGTGGAAAGAATATTTCCTTTTGCTCGGACGATAAGCTGAGTAAAATCTCTGCGGGAATTTG